TTTGCCCCAGCTAGCTAACACTAACTAAAAAGCAAAAGAAGAGCTCTCTGTCCCGCTGTCTGTCCGCAGACAACACAGTCAGGAGCAGGAATGTGGAGGAGTGAGTGCAGTGTCTGAAAACAAACTGCGCGCTTCTTCTCTCTCCCCCTTCACTCTCTGTAACACTCTTAAAGGTACAAAACTCATTATTCAACATAAACAGAATGAGACGACTGGGGATAAAAGCATCATATAGTCAACCCAGGACCCTAAAGATTTCTTTTGAAGCATGCCCATCCTTCCTGGACTCATTTGTTTTTAAGGGCTGCTTCACAAGGAACTCTCTGGATAAGTCTCTTGAATAGGCCAAAGCCTGCCCTCAGGAAGTCCATTGTGGAAATTTTATTGATGCCCCTCCTTGTTTCACCAAATATTGAAGACTCAATAATTATCATGATCACTGTGCCCCAGACAGGCTCCAACCACCAAACATCTCCCACCAGTCCATCTCTGTTTGCAAACAGCAGGTCTAGCATACTCAAAATGGCTCTACAACTGTATTTTAAATTTTGCAACTGAGATAATGAATCAAATGAGAATCAAGCAGACAAGGACTCTTATTCATTATTTTGTAAGGCATCCTGTCATCATTAATAAAAACAAGACTGTTGCAGCTTCCAGAGGGCTCAGCTGCTGAAGGGCTGCTGGGTGTGGCCCTTTGTGACACAGGGCCCTGGATGATGCAGGACATAGTGGTGCCCAGAGACCATTGTGACATCAGAGAGCCCCACCGTGACTGAGGGGCGCGGAGCCCTGGGGTGCCCAGTCCTGTGAGAGCTACTCTCATAGAAGGAAGCAGCTCCCAGATCTGTCTCTGCTACAGGACCTCCCTGTGGAGCAAGAAGAGAACAAGACAAACCTCAACTCCTTCCAGTCACCCAGCCCCCTGCCCAGCTGGGGGCAAGACCAGGCCCTCAGCGGGCACTTGGTGGGGGCCTCAGCCTGGCCACAGCCAGACACTGAGGAGGAGGAGAGACCCTTCACGGAAGAGAAGAAACCCAACATGGCTGACAAGTGGGGAGATGTTGGGGCCCGAGAGCTTCGTCTGAGGGAAGACATGAGAAGCTGTGAATTCTACCCACTGGTACCAGCAATGACAGCAAAGGAAGCGGCTGTGAGGGTGCTGTGGGGAGATGGGGCACAGCAACAACCCTACCAGGTGACTGACCCAGAGCTGACCCAGCAAGGGGAAGGAAGCATGAACAGCCAGGAGAAGCAGGCACATTCTCCTGCCCCCAGTGAAGAGGTGCCATCAGCAGGGACACAGAGCCCAGTCTCTGCTCCAGACAGCCCCTGCTGCCCCCCCAGCCCCTCACGCAGCCCACTGGGAGCCCAAACCCCCAGTGAGCAGCTGGAAGAGGCAGAGCAGGGGTCGCTGCTGGCAGAGGAGGAGAATGAGGAGAGGAGCTCAGGCTGGAAATATTATAGCCAGACTGAGCTTTCCAAAGAGTGCCAAGGTGAGGCCGAGCCAGAGCCGTCCCAAGGAGAGTTCAGCAGTTCCCAAGACCTCTCCAACTGGGATGACTGCAGTGAACCGGAGCTCAGAGAACTCCAAGACTCCATGGAGGAAGACAGCAGCAGCACAGACCTCCCACAGGACTGCAGTGACCATCTAAGCGTCTTCAGCTTCGGGCCCACTCCCTTGCTGTGGGAGGAGGAGGACGACGCCGACTAGGATGAAGTCAGCGTCCTCGAACTGTATGAAGGAAAAGTCAGGACCCAAAGACTGCCAGAGCCTGCAGCAGATGAGCTGCCCGTCCCTCAGGAGGTCTGGGTTGAGAGGCAGGCATCGCAGTTCCTGTATGCCTCGTTTCCCTCCCTGTACAGCGAAGTCTCCGTGGGNAGGCAGGATAAATCCAAACTGTCTTCCCTAATAAACCTCTGACATGTACCACTGGGACTTTGTCTCCATCTACTCTCTGCAAAGGCTCTGCAGGCAGGGCCCACTCGGTAGTAGAGCCTCGGGTGTTAACTAACCAGGTGACTTTTGCCAGATGCTGCTCCCAGTTTTAGAAAGATCCCCCACCTAATGCTTTCAATGTGGTTTTTAACAGTCTGTTGTACCTCTCCACTTTGCCTGCAGCTGGTGCATGGTAGGGGATATGGTACACCCACTCAATGCCATGTTCCCTAGCCCAGGTGTTGATAAGGCTGTTCTTGAAATGAGTCCCATTGTCTGACTCAATCCTCTCAGGGGTGGCTTGTCTCCACAGAACTTGCTTTTCCAGGCCCAGGATGGTGTTCCGGGCTGTAGCATGAGGCACAGGGTAGGTTTTCAGCCATCCAGTGGTGGCCTCCACCATGGTCAGCACGTAGCGCTTGCCCTGGCGTGTCTGGGGCAGTGTGATGTAGTCAATCTGCCAGGCCTCCCCATACTTGTACTTGGACCACCGCCCACCGTACCAGAGGGGCTTCACTCGCTTGGCCTGCTTGATGGCAGAACACGTCTCACAGTCATGGAAAACCTGAGAAATACTGTCCATGGTTAGATCCACCCCTTGGTCTTGTGCCCATTTATAGGTGGCATCTCTGCCCTG